TCATGACATGTGTTATGTCATGTTTATGAAAGTGTCATGACAGTCTTATTCAACCCCCTTCAAATAAAGTTTTACCCAAATAGCTTGCTCAGAGGTATTTTTCAGTGGGAAGAGATTTAAAATTGAAAAGACCTAGAGAAGAAGTTTTTGTTTTGAAGGTTTTTAGGCAGGTTGAGTAACATAAAAGATTGCAAAGTTGTTTTGTGCAATGCATCAACAGAATGTGTGCTCAGTTTCTCTTGGTTAGTCTCCAAAGGACCTTTGTAAAGGTGTATACCTGGGACCAGCCCTTGTATGGACAATCTTATGTTGACAATATTTGCAAATTAAAAATAGAAAAAACACAAACAACAATAAAAAAACTATCAATTTTAGCGTGTTACTATTATTCTGCGGCAAATGATCCAGCTGGTACATTCTTCCATACAAACAGGCAGTGATCAGGCCTCCAGTCAGGTTGGAATATTTCATGGCCACTCTCCCACCTGTGGTTTTTTCCAGTTTGTCAGGTTGCTTTACCTCCATGCAGTTCATCAAGACTGAAGGGTACACATAATCTGTCTGGAAAGTTGCCTCCAACAGGAAGTCCATCTTAGACTCCGCCTCCAACACATGCTGCCCACATGAGCTGGCCTCCAGTCCTGCACAGCGGACTACTGCACATACCTGTATGGAAGAGAGGTAAATGCAGCTGGACTTCAGTGAAATAATTTAACAACTTAACTCAAGAAGTGTAAATCATATTTGATGGCCTAACTTTACACAAAGTGAAATAATTTAGAATTTTGGATTTGTTAATCTTGACTATCAACAATAAATGAAAACATAAAATTCAGCCTCGCAGCCACTAAGCCATTCATCAATAGCAGAATTTTGCATCTGTCCACGCTACCAAAAGTACTAATACCTGGTTTGATGACAGTGGTATGATGGCTTCATTGTTCAGCAAACTGGTGTGACCTGGCCATTGCCTTCCTATGCAATTCCTTTGATTCTAATTTCACTGCTACATCTAGGTTTTCTCCAATTCAGCGAACAAAAGGAGATGTTGTAAAAGACATCATTTTTTCAGCACTGTTTTAGAATTGTAATCTGACTGCAGTTTTAGTAAAGATAGCAGTAGAAGTGAACAAAGCCATTCAGTTGTGTTAGCCACACGTCCAAATGTCGAATTAAGATCAAGTTCTTCAGAGTCTTGCTAATGATCTGATTATTTGACAGAGGAGTGTTGAAACAGAGACATATCTAAATCCTGCTAAACACTGGCCCTTGAGGCCTTGATTTGAGGATCTCTGCAGTAGACCAACATTTCTGCATTAAAAATTATTTAATTTTATGTAGTATAGTATTTTTGGGAAATTGAATTTGGGGTTTTAATCATCTGGAAGACACTGCTATCAAAGTGATCAGAATTAAACATATCACTATGAGTGCAATGATCCCATATATATGGAAGCCCATTTCCGCCACTCTGTTAAAAAAATAAGAAAAATAATTATCCCATTATAATGAGATACTATAATGGGATAATTATGAGATAGTATGATATACTATCTCATTATAATGAGATAATTATTTTTTATTTTTTAACAGAGTGGCGGAAATGGGCTTCCATACATATAAGATTGGAGTGATACTCTAATTTATTTGAGATACCACCATTCCTACCTGCACGGCATAACGTATACTTCCGTTGTGCATTCCTGCAAATGCTCCCAATGCATATAGTTCCTTGCTTTTGTTATGTGCTGTCCACTTGTACTGGAGGTGGCAGCAGAACGTACTATCACACACTCTGAGGTTGCCCTGTGTCTCATTTAAAAGGACAAAATTATATAGGTCATGCGCCATGGTTCCAGTGAAGGATGAACCAGGAGAAGGAGAATCAGCACAACGACCTCTGTGGCAGTGATCAGACTCTGTAGCCACAGGTGACATTGAGTCACCCACATTGTTCACCCCAACTGGACCCAAGACTGGGACTTTGGTCACAAGCAGCCGACCCTCCTCTGGGCCTCTGTTCACGGCGTGGTAGAAGGTAGCAGAAAATGGGGTGTAGATACCACTTCCTGTCATCCTATGCTTTTCATTACGAAGGTTTGAAGAGAGAACCGTGACATTGGCCCCCAGACTGAAGGCCCTATGAAATTGAATTGAATCCAACAGCGGGAGAGCGTTCATCCACGCTGTGGAGAAAATCAGCTGACGCACACCCTGGAAGAGAAGCAAAAAGATAAGAAAAGAGAGAGTTGGCTCAGTTAGACACGTCTGTGTGGATGAAGCTTCCTACCATTTTCACCAGGGCTACTGTGGGATCGTGGAACAGGATGTCAAAGCAGATGATGAGACCAAACTTCCCAGCAAAGGGTGTATCAAATGTGATCAGTTCAAGCTTTGGAGGCGTGTCAAAGGATTCTTCGAAAAAGAGGTTCTGTTTATGGTAACGTGCCACCAGCAGACCGTCAGAACTGTGTGAAAGGGAAAAATGACAGGTTTGCATTAACTTCCACAATGCATTTGTGTACTTGATCAGTTTTGTATTCAAGGTTTGCCCAGTACTTGAAAGCCACATTGGTGTTAAACTGCCAGTGTCCATCAGGGGGGCATGTGGACGGGGCCGTCTTCAGGGGACAGGGTTGCAGATCAGGCATGTTTGCCACCAGGTAGAGGTTGTTGCGACGGGCCATGCAGCTCAGTCGCTGGAGAACCTAAAAGAAACTCATAAACTTGATATAAATGCCCCTTTGGTCCAAGTAAAGTTGTCGGTGTAAACATGTAACCATAAAAGTGTCAAAATGATAAAAGAGTCATACAAATATCTATATTTTAACCTCAGTGTTGTTGTATTTGTCAGGCTCGGTGCAGGGGTTCCAGCTCTCCTCCTGAGGGTCAGGAATGGTTTCCATGTATCCGGAAATGGATGAACGGGTGAAGTTAAAACCGTGAATACCATCTTCTGGAAACACAAGTATCTTGGCTTTCTGAACAAGAGCAGATAAAACAATGACTTATAAACTTAAGTATGTAGTTCTCAATTTTAGGTACTACATTAAAGGTGGCTGAATACAAATGAATATCATGTTTTTGATTCATTGGAAATGAAATTGAAACCAAAGTATATCATAAAGTATATTTGAATAACCCCAGGGAAGGGAGATGAGGAGTCCAAACTTGCAGCACTGATACAGTTCATAGCCACACTAAAACACAGAGCAGGGTTTTGCTCTTGTGCTGTCTCCAATGTTCAAAATCACTACTAAAATGCAGGTCTGCTGGATCCTGATAGCTGGTTCCTTCTGTCATGGTAGACTGTTTTGAATGTGGACCGAAATGGAGGGAGGCAGCATTTTTGAAAAAATGAACAAAACAAAAGAAAAACCATGGGGAACCAGAGCAGAACAGAAACAAGAATCAGGAATGAAAAGTAACCACAGAGGAAGAACAGGAGAAGTATCTAAATAGTGACAGGGGGCGAATGCTGGAACAAAAGACAGGAGTGATTAGAAAACAGGTTGCAGGTGTGAGGGGAGAGAGCACATAAGGGAGCTATGGAAAATAATCTAAGATTAGCAAAGAATATCCAGACACAAGGAAGAAATAAACATAATTAAACTAGAATATCTAAGAACTAAAAAACACAAACAAAAACAAGCGGCACAGCAGGTAACCCAATAAAAGAAAGAGACTAAGGTAAACAAAGAAAAGTAATCAAAACTAGAATCAGACAATCAACCACAAAACAACCCCCTGCTTGACCATTTTTATATTAAGTGTTTCAAGGCTATGATTGATTTGATAAGATAAGATAAAATGCATGACATTGATAATGTCAGACTTTTTCTTGTAGTTGCTGATTTTATTCATTAGGTAGGATTAATGATGGACACCTATCCTGAATCTACTTCAGCCTCCCCAGCCCAGCAGCCTACCTGCTGTGCCGCTTTAGCAGCCTGCTCTTCGTAGATATCCAGGTTCTTCTGCATGTGGACCAGGGCTTCGCGACGGGACACGGGGACGCGAGGGTTCGGGTTCAGGATGACTCTGTGCTCGTACACGGCAGCCACGTACGAGTCCGCAGCGGACTCAGTCTCACCGAGACAAAAGACGAGCAGAAAGACGACCAGCATTTTCCCCTGTTACAGAGAAATTAATATTATGAGCTCCTTCTGGTTCAAAGGAGCTTTTTCAACGTCATGCTGCAAATTAGCTTACGCTGTAAGTACCAGCATGGGGTCGCTGTTTTAGTCAGTTTGTTTATGTTAATGTGTGTATGTAATTATCAAATTAACCATATATTAACCTTATTGAATTGAAAGATCCAAAAGATACGACATTGTTTTGTCAGTGAACCCTAAAGAGATCTTACTTTCTCTTTGGAAGAGTAGAGTTGCACCCACTCAGAAAACAACAACTGGATATGGGCGGAGGTCTGTGGGGGTCCGGAAGTGAGGAGTTATTTATATATATATATTGAGAAAGCACATGTTCTCTCAAGTGTTTGGTTCAGAAATTGACTTACTTGCAAGTGCTTTTGTGCATCACTCAAAAGATTATGCACGAGTATTTATAATTAGTTGAACTATTTCTGTAACAGCAAGTGTACCGATACCAATTTAAAAACACCTTTTGAAAATAAATCTATTTTATTTGGAACGGTGTGACTCTTCTTTTTAAGGATAGTCCCTTTGACTGTTTTAACTAATCATAAACAGAGCAATACAGGTTGTTTATTTTTCAAATTCTTTATCAAATTACTCTTTAAAAGGTGCATTTCTCGCTAGAATTTAGATCTATAACCCGAACGTACTGGCTCGGGTTTCTGTGGCGCAATTACACTTTGTCTAATCATTTTCGACATTTGTTAAACAAGTGCATTCCTCAAAACAAACACCATGGATTACCTGCAAAGCTCAGATCCTATCTTAAAATCATTTGTTCATCTCTCAAAATCATATCTGTGTCAGTGAACACGTCAGTGCCGCAAAATCATGTCAATGTTTAATTTTGTTCGGACAAGACAGTCAATTTGATTAAATAAGTAGACAATTTGACTAGTCATTTTACTAAACAGGGATGTTCTGTTTACGTGTTCTGTTCTGAAGAAGGCTAAAGCTTTAATGACAAAACATGCATTTTTAGCGGTAATTGGTTGACTGTCATTGTGATGCAGAAAGGAAAAGACAGCACTATAGAGCACATTCCTAAAGCAGTGGTGTAGGAACTACATTATAATTTTCATCTCTGAGAAAAAAAAAAAGAAAAAAAAACTTAGTGAATGAAGAGAATGAGGCGACCACCAGCATCTTGTTGTGGGTCAAAACCTCACAGCCTGATGTTGGAAAGATAGAAACTGGTAGATGTCCTCAGATTCTTCTGGTTTGCCTCCTGACTAGAAGGAGGCAAACCTGTTTTGTCTCCTTCTAGTTAGGAGGCAAAACAGAAGTAGTGTAAAGGTTCATTTACACTACTTGCAAGTTGTTTAAGTGAACACAACTTTATATACACACAACTTTGTGGTACAAGATACAAGGTGCACCTTACTTTGTACTTGGCAAATTAAGATGCACTTTCAATTTATTTTAGAAAACCGGTTGAGGATTGGTTGAGCTAATGCTGCACACATTTACCTATTGGAGAAACTTAGGATTCACCTGGGAGCAATTTATAAGTTCAGGACACTGTTTGAAAAAGTCTGATTAAAATGCATATAAGCATGCTTGGCATATTATGACAACTTGTTGAACCGTTTTGCATGCTAAGACTTACATGATGAAATTATGCTCAAATGTGGAGGCGGAGACAGTTCAACAGAGGTGGTTAGCAGGACAAAAGCCATAGAAAATGTTGAAAAAAAGCAGAAAATTGCACATAATCACTTGCATGATGTGCGAAAGCAATTGCAGCATGTTGAAAGAGATAAGAAAATGCTCTTTTGATTTGCTCCAGTGAGGTAGTGATTTGAAGATTGAATAAGTAGTTTTGAGAATTCCAATTCTGCTCTGAGAAATACAACAAAGCAACTGAGGAAAAAATGTAATAAGCCTACACACACAAAGGAAACCAAAAGAGAATGTGCGATCGAGTTGTGTTAGTTTACTTATCTTAGGCTAAACAGAGGAGTGGGTGACTTACCCTGTTGATGCGCAACTGTGCATTTGAACGTTACAGTCCAGTGCGCTGCACAGCTCCACCCCAGCCCCCAGGGAGGTGGGCGGGCCCACAGAGTCAGTGTTGCCCTCCTAGTACTGGAAGCTGTTTATGTTATTTGGATTTTGTTTTATTTTATTTTTTTAACCTCAGGTGGCCAACTTGACAACATAGGGCAGGGGCGGTCCTACCCTGCTTGGTGTCCTGGGCACACAACATTCAGAGCATCACATCAAACTTTCTACACACAAAAATAGAAAATATAATTTAATCTACCTGCCTCAATTTTACTGAACAGAACTTTATGAAAGGTAATTCAAGTAGAATGCTACTAAGCTCATTTCATCTTATTTATGTAAATTACATTTTTAATAGACTGTGTAAGGCTACCTACCGTAGCTGTAATAAGTCAGAATTCATCAGGGCAATAATAACACATAGCTACATATATAAAATATACTTGAATTTATTTATTTCTTTAATAATCTCAGAGCTACATTTTAAACATTCTACTGACCAGGAACAATATGGCATTGATTGGCTGCTGTGTTTAGACTAAATTAATGTATAACTACAAATAGCAGCCCATAGTGCCATCTGTTCCCCAAACTTGCTTTTAGCCATTACGATGGTTAATTCGTTGTGAACATGTCGTAACATGCTTTTGCCGAGCCGCCTTTATGCGCAATCATTCCTGTTTGAAGTGGTGTTTTTCTTCCGGTAATGCGTAATGATATATAAAATGTGCAACCTGGAAAAAAAAAAACATGCACTTTGTTAAAACTAGAATGTCCTATTAAAAAATAAGTACCTGACACCAGCACAGTTAATATCAAAAATGTTTGCCTCCATACAAGGAAGGATGTTTGGAACAAATCTTGCAACGTTATCTTCTAATGCATGTTCTGGGTAGAGCCTAATGATGTCTACCTTACCAAATGATGTCAGTGTTTTGCACAAACCACTCAGAGAGTTGCTGGATGTTTTCGAATCCTTTTAAAAAAATACAAGAAATATTTTTATACATTTTTATACTCAAAAGTGAAATTTATTGACAGATTNTCGTACACGGCAGCTACGTACGAGTCCGCAGCGGACTCGGTCTCACCGAGACAAAAGACGAGCAGAAAGACGACCAGCATTTTCCACGGTTTTAGAGAAATCAACGTCGTGCGCTCCTTCGGGTTGAGAAGTCCAAAGTCAGTACAGCTGAGTCAACATTGTATTTTGCTTGCCAAAGAGAGCGTGGCTTATTCTGAATGTCAATTTCTGTATTTTGTTTTTTTTTGGACTAAGATTAGATTTTGTGCTTTATGTTTTCATGTTTTTATTATTAATTATTATTATTATTATTAAGTCACTTTAAAATAAAAGTTATTTAAATTCTCAAATTTGGCATTAAAATGTTCTTTTCAAAACAAACAAACAAACAAACAAAATTGCTTTCGGTTGAGGTTTAAGAAATGTATAAAATAAATTAATGTTTTAGAACAGTTTCAAGCCAATTTTTTTGGTTAGGAACTTTTGTGGTACCTCTTCGGACTGACCAATGCAACTGCAGACGAAGAGGTAACACAAAAGTTCCTAACAAAAAAAAGCACCGTAAATTAGCGAATTATAAACAAATGCATTATGTTTATGTAACCTTTCAATGTTGTTTATTAATACAAACTAAACAATGACGTAAATACAGGACATTGTTGAAAATGATGAATAATTTGATACTTTTCTTTTTTAAATTAATTTAAGCATCTTTAAGAAAAGCAATCTAAATCCTGTTGCAGATAATTTGTATTTAAATAAATCTTATAAAAGCATTTTTTTTTCTTCCCCAAAAGAACAAAAATACGTTTTAAGTTTTGGATTAACACTGCCCTTTTCTACAGAAAAGCATCTACACAGGTAGTTAAGTAATGCTTTTATTTTGAAAATAACGAGCGGAAGCAAAATACAGCAACCTCGTATTATCCCGGAAACAATTAATCAACTCGACCTTCCATGTTTTATGTTTTCGATCACTGAGAAGGCTTCATTGAGCCAAAATTTGACAACAAACTGAATACTTAATTGTGGCGTTGTAATTGAACCGGAACTAGAAGCCGATCTTAATTCAGTCGCACCAGTTTGGTTCTAATCGCTTTTAGCCATTAGCATTAGCGTGCAAGCTGCCCTACACTTACAATGTCAACGGCTCCGGAGTCCACCGCCGCTCCGTCAAAGTCCCTCCAGACGTTTAAGGACTGCTGGGGCTGCAGGGCCATCTCAGGAGGGGGTCTGATTCTGTCTGCGGCTTATGTGTTCAACGCAGCGAGGAGGATAATGAAGCAGGGAGCTCCTACCTCCATGGGGACGGTGGCACAGATCACATTCGCTGCATGTAAGTCTTAGTAATGCACGTTGTTTTATCCGATTCAGTCTAAAGCCTCAAATGCTCTACTGTGTATCTCTGACAGGTCTGGCTTCTTGGGGAGTAGTCATCATCACCGATCCGGTTGGAAAATCGCATAGGAAGACCACATGAAGGAAGATCTGCACATTTTAACGGGACAAAACTCACATGTGGACATAAAGAGCCTGGTCCCGAGCACCAGCAGAGAGACTCTTGAAGCAGATTGCTTACTGGAATGTCTTCCACCATATGATTTATATATATTTTTTTTGGCTAGGTGAATAGTCACTGTATGGGAGCTTTACGTGATGACAATTGTGTAGCCATCTCGACAACAAATAGAACAAGAAAAGATGCTGCCAGAACAATGATTGGTCATGTCCTCTGACATAAATACAGCATTTGAATGAAGTATTTGACATAAAAATTCTCTAAATAGCTGTATTTCCAAAGGCAATATTGACGGGATTTGGAGTAGATGTTGACAACAATCCATTCAGTCCATGCAAAGAAAATCAAACCATAGCTCTCCATAAATTGTCTAATAAAATCAAATGTCAGGGAACAGCTGCTTTTAAATGCTTATTAAAATGTTTTGAATGCTTGATATGAAAGCCTCCGTTGGTGATGACCTCTCTAAAACATTTTCAGTACGAATAAATTAATCATGTGAATTACTAAGTTCTTCCACACTGGCCGTACATTCTTTGGTTGTATTTCATTTTTCTTGGAACCTTGTTTCCTTGGCTGTTTGACCTTGATGAAACGGCCATCTCCATCACTCCAGATCAAAAATGCTTGCGTTTGTGCATCAATCCTTTCTTCAATTACATGCCCTACATCATAATACACCCACCTCCATACTTGACTAATTGTATGATGTTTTTGCAAAGACATGCAACACTTTTTGACCTCCAAACATGCTGTGCATCGGTATCAACTAATCGGTGATACTGATTAGTTGATACCGATTCATTTGAGGAGACCAGGACATTTAACATTAACATGTTCCTAATGTGGAAAAAAAAAATAATACTAATCAGCTGGGAGAACGTTTGCCGTTTGTTCTTATTAAATTAAATGTTCAGATAACCCATAAAGCACTGCTTTTAAGTCAACAAGGGATTTCTTACGTTTCATAAAGAACTATACCACACAGCTCTTTACGAATGAAAGCAAACACACTGAAGACAACAGGAAATATGGCTCCTTTAGTCTGAGTTACCTTTTTATTAGTGTTATACTGATTTGAGCACAAGTTGCTCACCAGGAGAAATTCTTGAGTATGATGCCAAAACACTCCCTAAAATCCCAAAGCGTTTTTGAGTCATGTAAAATGATCATGACGTTCCGATGGATTTTTTTTTTCCTTTTCTTCTTGGATAAAGAAAAATATGAAAATAGAGTTGACAGTACATTTAGGCACACTATTAACACATAATGTACACAGATATGCACTCATTTTCTGTATCATAGATTCATATATACTGGGGGTTAAAAAAAAAAAAAAAAAACTTCCTGCATGGAGAGTTGAGCAGAAAGCTAAAGGTGACATCCCCCTCTCCCTTAAAGAGACGCCTCACATCCTTCTTGCTCCAGCCAATCAGAGTCCACCAGGGCTTGCCCAGTCTTCCACAGTTGCTACAGTAAGTGCTAATTAGCATTGATTCTATTGGCCACAGTCTCTTCTGTGACTTGCTGGACCTGATTTTAGCGGGTCGGACGGAGGGGGGAAGGGCTTCACACAAAACAGGCAGTGGAGGCAGTCGGGTCAGAAGTCTTGTACGCATGAAACACCATTTAGGAGGTTAAAAAGAAGCAGTTCGAGACCACCTCTGAACTAGCTGTAGTGCAGGAGCTGATCGATCACTGATTGCTAACTTTATCGATACCCACGGCAGATACTCTGTGATAGTGAGCATGGGATATGTGGACATATTCTGCACACTTAAAAAAAAACAAAAACAAAAACAAAAAACCTCAGACTTATAAAACAAGTCTGTAAAATAAACATTTTTACAACAACGGAATGTTAAGTTGTTGGGGTTAAGACGACGTCTTGATGATTTCTCCTAATAAAAAGATTACGAATGACCATTTTCAGTACACCGTGAATCAAAATGCACATGCATTACACAAAAATATATTGCACCAAATCAAAATATTTTGTTTTTCTCCTCTCAGAATAAAAGTGATATCTCCATCTCTCCTTTTGATTTTCTCAAAGTCCGATCGCGTGACGGAGAGCTCCCTCTGCCGTGCATCTCTTGGTCAGTATACACTGTATATATATATATTCATGTATTTATGGATTTAAGGCTGGTTCACTCGCTCACACTGGCACAGTTTCTGACTGAAGACGGGTGTGTCTTTCAGCTCAACATACACACACACACACACTTGCGCAGAAACCTATGCCGACTGGAACATACATTCCCCTCACCTTTTAGCTCATTAAAGGTTTCTGTCCTTGCATGATCAGCAGTAAGAAGCGAGCACACACACACACGCACACACACAAGCAAACAGCATGAGCTTTGGTTGTCACAGGCTATGACAGTTGCATTAAGGGGGACGTGGCCCATCTGTGGAGAGAAGGAAAACTAGTGGCAGGAGAAAAAAAAAAAAAAAAAGCTAACAAAACGTTCCGACTCTTTCTTGTTCACTCACATTTGCAGGACTGCGCCTGTTTAAGCCAGTGCTTCTGACATTTGCTTGGTTGCAATGGAAACAAGAATATGTGCTTCTGCAGCTCGTGTGTGGTCTGCGTGGCGGTATGCTTGATTACAGCTCTGCGGCTCCACAACATAAGAGGACTGAAGCGGGAAAGTAAGGCAAGGTGTGGGTCTGCACTATTAAGTCCCGTAGTTTAAAAACAACGCAGTATTTTATCATCTGCTCGTCTAAACCACAAGAAAGCAGCACTGGCTGGCTAACGTAAAGCTTAACAAAAGTAAAAAGTCTCCCCAAAAAAACAAGAAAAAGATATAGAAACTAAAAGAGAAGACTGTCATGTTCAGCCTCTTGGTGCAAATTATATAATTTGTGTTAGAACGTGTCTTTCAGAGCTGCTCATCCTTCGGTTTCCGTGTCAGCGGAAACGATCAGGAGTGTTTCCTCCCCCCCTCCCCACGACAAGAGTATGTGAGGGCGGGTGAAGGGTAGCGATCGCACGCGTAACACCTCCCTTCCTCACCACACACTCACTCACTCACACACACAACCTCACTTCCGGCTCTGGAGTCTGTGCGTCTGTCGCCGGGCCCGTGTCCCGCCGCCGCCCGTGCTTTCCTGTCACCTCTTCAGCGAGGAGGACTGGAGTTTCTGGCTGTATCTTTGAATGCGCGGCGAACGGGAGTGCAGCTTGACGAACAGCTCAGGGAATTTGTACTGGGGGAACATGGTCTCCAGGAAGCCCTCCAGGAACACGTAGACTAGGCGCCGGTTCATGGGCTGGTACTGAAACATGTCGAAGACGCGGAGGATGCCCTTCCTCGTGGTGTCCGCTCCGATGATGTGCTTCAGCTCGTCTGAGGGCAAAAACAGAGACAGAGAGATACGCTGTGGTCGTCAGCGGCGGGCTGAGATCCAAAGGGTGACGGTAGCGGGTTGACACTGGGGTGTTAATATGATTTTTTTTTTTTTTTTTTTTACCAGGTACTATACGTGAAGAGAAAATCAGAAGAGCGTGAAAATGTATTTGTAGTGTTCACCTGGCATGATGCCAAGCAGGCTGGTCTTGGCAGCGACTCGCGTCCTCATGCGGATGCACTTGTCCCGGCGCGGTGGGGTCTCGGCTAGAATCCCATTAGGCCAGTAGGAATCCCTGAGCATGAAGGGAAGCTCTCGGTTACTCCAAAATTCCTCTTAAAGAAAATCGGACAAATCAGGAACGAAATGGCTACCTGAACTTTTTCACATATTCCGCCACCTGTTCTGGAGAGGTCATATAGTCGACATGATCCACAATTTTCCTTCACAAACAAAAGAAAAGGTGTTACAGTTGGACTCTTTAGGGAGTTGATTATTTATTATAATCTCTCTGAAGGTTGGGCGAGTCTCTCACCGGTTGATCGTGTCGCCGTAAGTGGCTCTGATGAGCTGCTGCAGCAGGTTCTTGATGTTCCTGCGCAGCCACTGGTTTTTCTCTTTGAGGTCAAACACCTCGTCCATCAGGAGCAGCATGACTCGCAGAGGGATATTATCGTCCACCTGGACAGGCGGGGGAAAGGTCTTACTGTTTTAACTGAAATCTTTAAAAAAAACAAACAAAAAAAAAAACAAAAAAAAACAGGTCAAATAGAAACGGAGCAGCTGCAGACTCACATTGTCGTCCAGCTGAGCAGAAACTCGACAGTGTTCTGGGTCGATGTCGGATTTTGGAAGAAGTGGAGGCGCCTTTAAAAAAAAAAAAAAAAAAGAGAGAGAAAAGGCTAAGGTTAGAAAACTAAACGACATTGTGAGAAAACCCAACAGTGGTTGGAATTACAGAGTTTCAGTAGTGTGACAGATGTTGTCCTCAAAATAATGTTTTTACAGCTAGATTACAGATAAAGCAATTAGGTACAAGTAAAACAGAGTCATTCTAACAATAGACTTTTGGAGAGAGAGAGAAAAAAAGCACACTTCACAGTAACAATGCTGGTCAGAACAGGAGCAGGAGTCAAAACATAGCTAAATGTTGTCAGTCTTTCAGGGTTTTGAAGGATAGTTTTTGTCACTGGGCAGACTAGGGTCAACACAGATTAGTTTTAAATCTCTGAATAGAGTACTGGTCTGTTAGCTACTGTCTTAGAAAATAAATCACTCCCTTTTGCTTGTATTCCTTCCTTTAAAAAAAAACAAAAAAAACAAAACAAATACTTTTGGGAATTTAAAAAGATAAGAACAGATGATGTATTTTACTTAATAAGCATCTTACTGACCTTAAATATGTTCTGTTTGATGTCCTGACCAAGTCTTTCTGACATGCGGCCCATGTTGTCAGAGACTTTATTCATTCCCTCAGCCAGACTGTCTGGCAGGGATTTCACTGCATTGGACATGTTCCTCATGGAGCTCCGCAAAGGATTCACAAATGTGTCTATCTGAAGATGAATCACCAAAACCACAACACTGACATTTAGCGTTCGAGAACCAGACAACGCGCGACGTCACATTAAATAACACAGATGAAATCATTTCCATGTGAAAAACTGTAGAGACCTTTCGCGCAAACTCTCCTTTGCCCTTGCTGTAGGCCTTGTTTTCTAGGAAGTCATAGACGTAGGGAATCAAAGTTGGACAGGCCTTCACCATCTCTGGGTTTAGCAGCAACTGAAACACACACAAGCACACAATTACACACAACGATATAAATAGAAACTAAAGAGTACTGACATAGTCTGCAATTCAGAATTCCTACATATTTAAAATAAAAATTTCTGATTTTTCCAAATTTGGATGGATGAGTAGGAAGTAGATATGGAAGGAAGGGAGGACACAAGGAAGAAAAAAAATGGAGGGAAGAACATGAGGAACAAATTGAGGTATGAGGGAAGGGAGGGAAGCAGGATACAAGGAGGGAAGGACAGAGGGAAGGAAAGGATGGGAAAGAAACTGAGGCATGGAACAAGAAAGGAAAGGAAGAAGTAGGGACAAAAATTAAAAATAAGAAACACTTTTTCATAACTCTTATTTTCATACTTATACACATCTGGGAAATACTAATCTCATATTCCAGACTATCCCAAATTGCATAGGAGCCCTAATAATTACCTGAAGGTAAGCATTGAGGTCTTTTTTTCTCTTCTCCAAGAAGTCTCTGTCCATATTGTTGAAGGTTTTCTTTCCTGGAAGCTTGAGGAT